GACATTGTGGCCTGCTTCATGGAGAGAGCAAAGGTAGAAAAACAGTACGCCCAGCAGCTCAGCCAGTGGAGCAGCAAGTGGAAGTCCATAGTGGATTCTCGTAAGTATGAACAGCCGCATGAAGGGGAGCCTAATAACAGAGAGCACGCATTCCCAGGCCTTTCTGATTACGTCAGCTCTCATCAAGTTATGATTACTGTTTGATTCTTATTAAATGGCTGCTTCTGTGTTTGTTTGAATCTTTACAGAGGACAAATGGACGTTATTAATTCTGTATTGGTTCCATGACTCACCTCTATGCTCTCCGTCATTCCTTTGCCTTTTTGCTCCTTCCCCAGGGCCGCTTTATGGCTCCCTCATGAGGGCATGGCAATGTTTCTTCACCTCCACTGAGCGCTTGTCCACCCTCCACTCCTCCATCTCCCAGTCACTCATGGCAGAGGAAGGGGACCGGGTGAAGACCTGGCAGAAAGAGACCTTTCCAAAGAAAATCTTCTGTGGGTTCAGGGAGAGCTACGACAACAACAAAAGTTTTTCACGTGCGCAGAAACCCTGGTCGAAAAAGCTGATCAAGGTCCAGTACATTCACCTCTGAGTGTGTCTATACATGCTTGTAATGGTGGTCATATGTAGCAATGGTAGTTTGACACAAAATCTTTACTGAAGGTCTACTTGCTAGCTTTGTTCCGCAGCTTTCAGCAGCAAGGCATGGTCTTCATTAGGAAATGTAGTTTCCAATCTACTGATAAATACTGTGAGATCCCACTGAAAGCTCAAACTGTCAAACTAGTCTTTAGTTATGTGTACATTTTTCTACAATACAAGACTCTACATACAAGAAGAGATCACAACATTTTTTGTACGATTTCAACATAATGATAGCTCATAGCTAAATAAACCTCAATATGTTAATTATTGAGCTTTAGAGGTGCTGGTAAGCCACTTTTTTACCTTTGGACAGAGCCAGGCTAGCTGTTTCCCCCTATCTCCAGTCTTTGTGCTAAGCTAAGCCCATCTCCTGGCCATAGCTTCATATATATATATATGAATAAGAGAGTGGGATTGATCTTCTCATCTAACTCTCAGCAAGAAAGCTAATGAGAATTTTTTTTTTAAATGTCAATATTTTCCTTTAAGTAAATATTATGTGTGTGTGTGTGTGTGTGTGTGTGTGTGTGTGTGTGTATTCAACAGCTGGAGAAGGCCCGGGTTGCGTATCACAAGTCCTGTCAGAGGGAGCAAACAGCCCTTGACAAAGAGAAACAGGCAAACGAGAACTCTGAGATGAGTCCAGAGAAAAAGCAGAAAATCACAGATGCCAGAGAGAAGGCCACAGAGGAGAAAGAGAAGGTGAGAACAGATGTTAACACACTGCACCACTTTACTCCAAGTGAAGTCATGCATGCTGAATAAGGGCTTCATTCACTGCACATTTAAATTCACAATTCCTGATTCACGACATGCCACAGAGTTAAACATGTTGCATTCCACAAAAGATTTGTTGGCCTGCAGCATGCTGTGATATTTATCCAGTTGAGAAACAAGAGCCCCAGCCTTAAATTTTTGTTCCAAACACTTCCCTTGTATGGAGATGTGTTATTATGAGACTGCTCAGTGTTTATGGAGCCCAGAATGAGAACAGTAAAAGAGCACCAGATGATTTATAAATTGTAGATCCTCCTCCTTTAAAGAAACACAATAGATGTTCTTCCTGAGGAAATGTGTGGCAACTTCATCATAAAACTTTTTCTGTGAGCTGCCTGCAGAGTAGAGAGAGCTACGAGAAAGTGCTGGAGGATGTGACGTCCTACACGCCTCGCTACATGGAGGAGATGGAAGCCATTTTTGAACAGTCGCAGGAGGAGGAGAGGAAGAGGATCAGCTTTCTGAAGCAGGCCTTCCTCTCCATCCACAGACATCTTGACATCACTAATAATGAGAGGTGAACAGCCATCAGATGACTGGGTGTGAGAATAGTGTGTGTGACTCTTGGGTTGATGCAGAGCAAGTGTGTATTTATTGTGTCACAACAAACCAGCTCTGTGTCCTCGTGTCAGTGTGAAGGCTGTGTACAGTGAGCTCCACCACACTCTGATGTCCATCAGTGAGCAAGATGACGTCAAATGGTGGAAGAACAACCACGGTCCTGGCATGCCCACTGACTGGCCAAAGATTGAGGTATGTTAAATAAATAGAGGGGGAAAAATACATTTAATATTTTATTTAACCTTTATTCAACTAGGTTTGTCCCCCAGAGATCATAGATCTCTTTTACAAGGGAGACCTGGTCAAGAATAGCAGCAACACAAAATTTCAACAATAAAGTAACAAAAAATCACTGAGGCCTACAGGTGAAATTTAAATAAAAATGATCAGATAAAAAATTTGCAGACAACCTGGACACAATAGACGTCATCATAGTTTACATGCACTTGCAAGACTCTCAAATTACAACAATAGAATGATACGTCAATACATAATTTGTCTTTTTTGGAGTGGGTGTTTCTTAAATGAGAGACATTAGTGAACTAAAGGTGGCAATTCCTCTGAAATTAATTGTGTTGTACATGTGTGATTTTTTTTTTCTTGTTCTTACCCTAGACAAAGAAATGCATAGTCTCACACAACAAGATATCTGTTGTTTTCACCACATAGTAACATTTATACAGTGTTTTTTGCAGGACCCTGCAATGTATTTATTGAAGCTGATTCACTTGATCAAAGTGTCGATACATTTGAAATCCAAACTGTTGTCTCATCCACCAGGAATGGGTCCCACCAGTAAAAAAGCTAAATAGAAAGAAGAGAGACCAGAAAAGGAAAGAGGGCAAGCCGTAAGTTATCCAGACTACTGCTTTCAATATATGGCAACAATGTTTTTTTAATAACCAAAAAATTTACAATATACATTTTATTCCAAGTTGTGTTTTTTGACTGTTTAAACATCCCTGTCTTCTCCCGTTAGTGTGATGATTGGGGGTGTGAAGGTACGAGCTCTGTACGACTACGTGGGAGAGGAGGGTGACGAGCTGTGCTTTAAAGCAGGTGACACAGAAAGTGTGATGTGACAACACGTATTTAGAAAGTAGTGTTATTCTCAATATTAAAGCTATAGGCAAAATTACAACCACTGAATCAGTGGGAAGACACTATTGCATCCATCCCTCTACAATGACAGAAGACATGCATTACAGGATTTCTGGGTATTGAAGTTCAAATATATGTTTTATTGCTACCTCTTTATCAAGTAATAGTGTAGCTTTGGCCATCCATTCACCTCATCATCTATATTGGCTCTAGAATCGGAGTTCATCATGACAATCCCTTTATCTTTCGCAATTATTAATGTTTTATCATGCCGTACGGTAGTGTTGTAGTTTTATCCAGTGTCGAGTTGTTTTGCGTATACAGTGGCGAACAGACAGCACAATTCAACAGACCTCAACTTTCCGTTGTTAGTTTTGTTGCTATAATCTCTTTCACATCCTGCAAAGACAAAAAGCTATACTCAAAATTAGCTTGAGGAGAGATATTTTGAAAGAGCATTTATCCCTTTCGTTCTGTATGATAAAGCGTTGAAATCTAAACAGGTACTTGAACATGAAATTAAAACATAAAAGTACTACTTACTAGTTTTGTAGCCAGATGACGCACTTCTGGGCAACTGTCATGAGACATATAACGTATTCTTTATTAAAACAGGGTTTTTAATATGTTGAATCAAAGAAGCAAGATGTTGTATTTTCACAGACTTGTATTTTCTGTGATTATGACACATTTCATTTCTTTTAATCCCAGGTGAAGTATTCCTGAAGGTCGAGGAGGAGGACGACCAGGGTTGGTGTCGAGGAGTCCTGAGTGGAGGAAAGGAGGGCTTCTACCCAGCAAATTATGTTGAACTTGTCGAGTGATGTCACAGTGTCTAATATAATAACAGTTATTATGATATATGTTGTCACACCAATTTTGAGTTAATGTCAGATATAATGTAAAATTTGTTAATGCCTTAATATTCTAACCTACTTTGAGTACCTCTGCAATAAGAATGAACTTATCGAAGACTAGAGTGTACTGTTTGTGCAGGAGCTCAATGTGTACGTGTGAGTGTGTATGTGTTTGCATGCAAGTGTGCATGATGAAACAAAAGCTAAGGAGAGAGGATATTTACTTACTGCCATTATGTCTGAGTCATTAAGTCACTGTAACAAAAGATAGCTGATAATGAAACGTGGGGTTTACCCAGACACAGGTTTACTATGATGTGTACACACAAGGTTAATGTTTACTTAATAAGTATTATATTGAAGTTACTTTGACTGAGGGAGTGGGTTTTCAAAATAAAAGTGTAATTGTTTTGCCTTTAATCTGTCTCATTTTAATCTACTGCCTCTTTTTTTTGCCATTCTCGCAGTGTGGGTGTATGGATGGTAGTGTTGGTCAGTTGGTACTTTGATCCAGACTGAAATATCTAAACAGACATTCACAAACCCCATCCTGATGGCTTTGCTGATCCCAAGACTTCTCTTCTATCACCACTTTGAGCTTGACATTTTTGCTTTTTATTGGTGAAATGTCTCTACAACTATTGGATAGACTGCCACATATTTTTGGTAAAGATATCCCTGGTGCCCTGAGGATGAACTGACTTTTCCTCTAGCACCACCATGAGGTAAACCTTTGTGGTTTTGAATGAAATGTCTCCTAAGTATTGAATGTATTGCTGTGAAACACGGTACATATATATGTTCCCAATAAGATTAATTTAAATCACTTCGTTGATCACTTTTCATCTAGCACCATCAGCAGGTCAAATGTATGTGTCTACTGGTTTATGATCGAGCTAATGACACTACATCAGCCTCAGCTGTAGCCAATATACAGCTGTGCCAAAGTGCAGCCTCATAGAGGCGCTAGACTTAGTCTTGTTAACTGTTCTTTTTTTTTTTTAACACATCCAATACAAAAGACCAAAGATAATAAATGCTAGTGTGGATTTCTGCCATAACCTTCAAATAAATATTTTATTCATCAGATAGGCCTACATTTAATTACTCGAATCAAATATAGGCCAAGCAAAATACTGACAGACAATTTACGAAAACACCATGAAAACATTTTGTCCTAAGGTGTACTTTAGACTGCTGGCATTCATAAAACAAATAATATTACGTCAATACATTACAGATTCTTTTGTCTGTAAGTGACTTAGCCTACTTATTTTCTCCCATGCATACACACATACACCCTTCAGATATTAAGCTTTAATTTATTATTAATCATCTTGACCTCCAACAGTTTACTGCTTCCATTGTTCCACCCATTTTACATTCGGGGAATTGTTTAACTAGAGTTAGGCAATATGCGATAAATCTCAAGACTATAGCCTACCACCCAACCTCGCAGCTTTGTGCACACACCACAGTATCATAGACGACTCAGGAGCAAAGAAACCTGTTGGACAAGATATACGAGACACAGGTAGAGACCGACTTGATGTCACGCAGCAGATGACACATTGCTGAGACCTGGGGAGGGTTTCATGTTTATGGTTGCGCCGTACGTTTAGCAATCAGATGTGTAAGTACGTCTTAGATATGCTCATTTTATTTTAGAGGATTTGTTCATTTTAAATTGCAGATACGATAGATAGCCTACATGGTGGCTGCATTGTCTGGATTAAGTTTCTTTTATTGGAGTGCCTCTTGAAGGTGTGTCAAAATCTTAAAAATGCGAACGTCACATATGCTCTCCAAAGAAAATTAGACTAGCCTAATTACTTTGATTTCTGTGGATTGGATAGTAATTGCATGTTACGAGTTAAATAGGTTAATGTGGCCTCTTTTTTAGGTGCCACGTACAGTTGAATAATTTCCTTTCTCTCACAGACAGGTTGACTTACAATGGAATTTGCTTGTGGGTTTGTATATGTGCCGCCATCAGTGACTCAGAAGGACGAACAGCGATCTAATGTTAAACGCTCAGGTGGGATTTCTTTCAAACACTTCCAGGCACGTTTCTTCAGATTTAAAGCAATCAAAAAATCTAGCACTGGTTAAAAAGATGTCACGATTCTGGCTCCATGTTGCTGTCTAGTTGTAGTTTTTCAAGCTTCCACAGATCACTAGCCAGACACACAGTGGAGACCAACACCTGAGAGAATTTCAGCTTTCTGAGACATCCACAGGAAACAGATTCAATTTGCTTCTTTGCAGACTCATTAGTTTCAAGACATCCAACAAAGAGACACAAAGCTTTCACTCTTACTGTCACTACATATGTCACTGATACCTCACCTGCTGTGTGGTCCACTGTCTGGAAGATGTTAAAAAGCATTTTGAGAAGTGTAAGAAGTCATTAACTGAAGTTTAAAATGAGAGAAATTTTAAGTCCAGTGCCTAATCACAAAATGACTTTGAATAAGAAAGATTGATTATAGACTAGATAACTGTGTAAAAGTATCTGCAGGTGGATTTTTCCTTTCATCAGAGCTTTCTGGATGACTGGATGGTTAAATGCTATTTACGTATTATGCAATCAGTGACACTCTCCTGTCTATCTTAGAGGAGATATTCCTTTCAGATACTTTGCTTTGCTCAGTAAAAGCCATCTGCCACCTGAGTCACATTTTTTTCACAGCACAAAGGTCACCACTGCGCCAGTTGTTTTTGTCTGTGCTCACATTTCTCTTGCAAGAAACTGTTCTCAAATTAACAGCCACTGTACACACACACACACACACACACACACATGTGTGTGTGTATGTATGTATGTATGTATGTATGTATATATATATGAGATGTTTTTTTATGTTTTGTAGCGCTTCTCCCTCCTATTAACCGGATCCGTCCTCGCACTACCCCCCCCCCTCCTCCAACAACTTCTGCAGAAGTCAAATCACCCCCCTCCAAAGATTATTGAGCAGCTGGAAAAGAGCAAGGAGGTGAAGAAGGCTGCAAAGGTCATTTCCTTCTATGAAAATGCAGAATTTCACAGTAGAACAGATGCAGTGTCTTCCACCTGGATAACCCCTCAGCAGACAGCACCACCTCGAAAAACAGGTACTAAGTGTGGCAATTAGTGGAACTGTATGGCTGAACAAGTTTGGTTAGGATCATCTCAAATACCTTAATATGAAATCGATTTATTAAAAGAGTTATTCACCCAGAAATGCAGTTAGAAAGAAAGAGAGAGAATGTTTGCTGCTGTTATTAAAGTTGAAGCGATTTTAAAAAGCATATTTTTACATATCGATACCTGGAAGCTGCCCAGTGCATCCACTCTTATCTGATTGCCACTGAGCAGCTCCGCTGGAGATTGTTCAGCGCCTTACTCAAGGCATCTCATCAGTGATAATAACCCAGATACACTACATTGCCAAAAGTATTAGGACACCCATCTGAATCATTGAATTCAGGTGTTCCAATCACTTCTGTGGCCACTGGTCTATAAAATCAAGCACCTAGGCATGTAGACTGCTTCTACAAAAATTTTTGAAAGAATGGGTTGCTCTCAGGAGCTCAGTGAATTCAAGCGTGGTACCGTGATAGGTTGCCAACTGTGCAATAAGTCCAGTTCTGAAATTTCCTCACTACTAAACATTGGGAACAACAGAAACAGCCACAAAGTGGTAGGCCACATAAAATCACAGAGCGGGGTCAGTGCATGCTGAGGCACACAATGCGCAGAAGTCGCCAACTTTCCGCAGAGTCAATAGCTACAGACCTCTAAACGTTGTGTGGCCTTCGGATTAGCTCAAGAACAGCGCATAGAGAGCTTCATGAAATGGGTTTCCATGGCTGAACAGCTGCATCCAAGCCCTACATCACCAAGTGCAATGCAAAGCATTGGGTGCAGTGGTGTAAAGCACGACGCCACTGAACACTAGATCAGTGGAGACATGTTCTCTGGAGTGACGAATCATGCTTTTCTGTCTGGCAATCCGATGTACCAATCTGGGTTTGCTGTGTTTTAGGAGAACAGTACTTGCCTGACTGCATTGTGCCAAGTGTAAAGTTTGGTGGAGGGGGATTATGGTGTGGGGTTGTTTTTCAGGGGTTGGGCTTGGTTAATGCTGCAGCATGCCAAGACATTTTGGATGATTTCATGCTCCTAGCTTTGTGGAAACAGTTTGGGGATGGCCCCTTCCTGTTCCAACATAACTGTGCACCACTGCACAAAGCAAGGTCCATAAGGACATGGATGAGCGAGTTTGGTGTGGAGAACTTGACTGGCCTGCACACAGTCCTGACCTCAACCTGAACACCTTTTGTGATGAATTAGAGTGGAGACTGCGAGCCAGGCCTTCTCGTCCAACATCTGTGCCTGACCTCACAAATGCGCTTCTAGAAGAATGGTCAAAAATTCCCATGAACACACACTTAAACCTTTTGGACAGCCCTCCTGGAACTCCATATTAAACCCTACAGATTAAGAATGGGATATTATTAACCTTCATGTGCATGTAAAGGCAGGCAACCCAAAATGTTTGGCAATATAGTGTATGTCCAGTTGGTCAAAGGACTTCACCTTATTTCTCAGTAGATTGTCAAATGCTACAACCTAAAAGAAAAACACCGAAGGGTGGGGGGAAGAGAACAACAACAACAACAACAAAAAAAATCTCATCACCTCTAGTGGTATCTAATCTAACACACAGTTCTGGTGTTATTTGTCCTAGGATTGAGATGTCATAAGTGATGCATTTCATAGGGCCTGGAGGCACAAATTACAGAGGTAAATAGCTTATCTCAATATCTGAACATTAAACCAAAGTATTTGCATTAGTTAGATACCACTAGTGGTAAAGGATTCACAGTTTCAACCTTTTCTCTTTTGATACTTACCTAGAACTTGATCTGATACTAGTGCTCTCTTTATCCAAATTTGAAATCAAGTAAGGGAACAAGAGGCCATGGATCACTGTGTGACTGAATCAAAACACTGAATTTTATAGTGACATTGGCAAAGAAAATGTATTTAATGTGGTTCAGTCACATCGTTGCTGATACCTGATCCGCGTAATGTCACTGCCAACACTGATACTAACTGGATTAGTGCATCCCAAGAGAGAGAGAATATGTTTTCTCATAATAATGGTTGGTTTAGCTGCAGTTGGTAAATCCCTGTGTGGCTGCTCTTATGTAGGTATCTCATAAATCTGGACCCTACTAGATGAGTTTTTAGTGTTTGGATGAATTATTCCTTTAACACACTGCTTCTACCTGCTTTTCCCCAGCTCTTCTTCCACCACACATGAGACCTGCAGCAAACAGCCAGTCCCTTCCTTACAGCCAGCCACTCAATTCCCCCAATCCCAACAGTCAGACATTTATCTATGACCTCCCTAAAAGCGAGCCAAATTTAAATGGACATCCCTGGGACCAAGACTACTCATACACCATACCAGAAGGCACGGGGGTCCAGGTGAAGCTGCCAGGTGAAGCTAGCAGCATGTCTGCACAGACATCAGGTAAATAAGCAGCTGTTTAAAGCAGCTTTGTGCAAATAGTTTCAAGGTCAGATCATTCCAGTTCATTCTGTTCTGCTCTCAAGCCTCAGCCCCTGCCCTTCCTCCCAGACCTTCATTCATGAAGTTAATTCCAGATTACCTGGTGCTGTTACCATCAACACATTCATCTCCGTCATCATCTCAGAAATCACTTTCAGACTTGCCACATGTCCCATCACCTACTAGTAAAGGTAAATGTAACAGTCTCTGTCATGCTGCCAAAAGAGTCAACACTCATGAATGTTTTCCGCAAGTGACGCAACACAAAATGCCTATTTGTAATGCTCTTGTTGTTCCCAACTCAGCATCAGCAGATAAGGGGCTTCTGCCAGGGAATCCTAATGTGGTCCTCATCAGTTTAGGAAAATTACTCTCTCAGGAAAGAGGTCAGTAAACATTAATCATCACCACAACCTTCATTATCTGCCATCTGGTTTTATTGTCAGTCTTATCGGCCTATGATGACGATCATGTTTTCATATTTGCAGTGCAGGCCATAGATGGACAGCCCGTCTCCTGCTCCCAGTGTGGCGCTGTGCTGGACTCTTCCTACTGCAATATGGTAATCTGATACTGTATTTCATTTCACTTTTGTTCTGAAACTGATGTGTAGTAAAACGATTAAGAGTCACTGATTTCAAATGTGAATAATAAGTGTCAATCTCCTTGTAAATAACAGAGCATGACAAAGTCTGAGAGGCAGTGGAGCATAAGTATTATTTATTTGTGAAATGTGTCTCTGGTTGCACTCACTGAGGGGACTGTGGTAAGAGTTGTAAATGTTCTCTCCCTATGCTGAACTGCAGGTTAAAGTGTGTTACTTCTGTCAGCACTGTGAGTCAGCCAGCTCTACCAGTATGCCACAGTGTTTTCCAAGTGGTTATCAGGATAGCCTCTTTTTGCTCAATCCTGATGAGCAGCCCCTTTGTGCTGCTGATGCTCTGCTGCTCTTCTGCATCGACATCTCAGGCTCCATGAGCATCACTTCCCAGGTAAAACCACACTGTTTGCTGTTGGGATCATGACAGCTGGCATTCACAAATGCAACCTGCAGTGTTTCAAATTATCAACCTCTATTGTTTTTAAGGTGTCAGAGGGAGAGCATACTATCCACAGATCCCGCCTTCAAGTGAGTTTAATTTACTTTTAACTTAGTAAGGCTGAAAATAAACACTATGTTAGCCTTAACCTACTGTAGGCCCAGTTACAGTTCACTTGAATAGGGACAAACTCTTTCACGCAACATCATACGACTACAAAATTAACACTTACAAAATGGAAAATTTGTTTGTGTACATGCACAACATGGAGTATCGCAACACTAAAATGGGTCCAAAGATGTTATCAAGATGCCTTTAGTGATAAAAATCATTGTGTACAAACCAGCTTGTCCAGGAGGCCGTGTTGCTGTGTGTTCAGAGACTAAGTGAACAACAACCTGACAAACGAGTGGGACTCATCACCTTCAACCAACAGGTACAGAAATGACTCTCCTGTTAACAAAAAAATGATATTGTATTGTGTTTTACATTTTCTCCCTGACTCTCCTCAATTTTCTTTTAGTTATCTATTTCTGTCTTTTAAGTTTGTGTCTGACTCATATTTGTTTTTCAGTTTATTATTTTGTCATATAAAGTTATTACAATTTCTTAATGTTTCTGTTGCCAGGTAACAATGCATGGATATGAGAATTTCAAGACACAGTTCCTGAGCGGTGATGTTTTGACTGACATTGACTATCTGAAAAGGGCTGCTGCCAGTTTCCCCATCCCACCCCCACTCTCACAGACCAAGGACCACTTAAAGAGACAAGTTATGGGGTCAGAGAAAAATCAGTGATTGGTGAACAATTGGTGTTTTTTGTTTTTTATTACATAACATAATGTATTTTCTGATTCACCTCTTGTTGAAAGATTGTGTGAAAGTGGGACCACAGCTCTCGGTCCGGCTGCTCTCCTGACGATTGCGATGGCCTCCAGACAGCCAGGGTCTAAGGTATGTTTAGTTGATATACAGTCTATGGTTTTAGCCCATCTACAGTTTACATGTACTGCATTATACATGTGACCTGTATCAAATGATCATTTCACAGCACTGCATAGATTCAGCAAAGCTCATGAACTCCAAAGTGTGCTGATCCTCAGTTCAGTATAGGCTGAACTTAGTCTGCACTTTTAGCCGGATGAGCGATGTTGTAATCCTTATATGACTTTAAATAAATGGTCACACTTTAGTGTGTCATATGTCAATTTTTCCATTTTCTGAAAACAGTACAATCCTGATCTGCTTATCCCTGCTGATCTTGAAGGTGATTATCTGTACAGATGGGAAGGCCAACACAAAGTTGGGGGATCTGGAAGAAGAGGATATTGATGCTCGTACCCTCCTCTCATCCACCATCTTCTACCAGGAGCTGGGCGAATATGCTGCCAGTCAGGGGTTGGTACACATCTCCTCATTAATGTCAAGAATGGAACAATATAAGTGTACACTGCTGAACAGACGATTAACAGACATTTACACACTTGAAGCACTGTTGCTTCATCAACGTAACTGCAAGACCACTAGTAGTTCTGATATTCGTACTCAGAAAGGTGGGGTTTGTCTGTTGTGTGCTGGGCTGGAATAAAGATCATACTGAAATCTCCTTCTTTTATTAGTGTGACAGTGTATGTGCTGTCCATAGAGGGAACAGACTGCAGGCTGGATGAGTTGGGAAGACTCGCTGATCGCACTGGAGGGAAAGTAAGAGACAATGTGAAATTGTCTTCCGATGCGTTTCAATAATTGCCAGATCTTTAAACCAACGGACTGGTATTTTTATCATGTATATGACTTATCAGATCTTGTTGTTTGTGTGTGTGCTGCCCTTAGGTGGTTATAGCATGTCCTGTAAGGTTGCACGCAGAGTTCGAACAGATCATCGAGAACAGGACCATAGCTACGCATTGTTCTGTCACATTACTTCTGCCCCAATCACTGTAAGATTTGCACTATTCCTTACTAACGTTTCAAAATTCTTTATCAACCGGTTTAATTGATAAATTCATGCATTGTAAATTACATTATTATTTCATGATGTTCTCCTCTGGTCCAGGACTATGAGAGGAGAGAGGGAGGCAGGACACAAAGGAACCAGAGAGGTGGGGAACGTGGACCCAGATAAAGAGATCACCTTCCAGTTTGGAGCCAATGTAAAGGACAAAGAAGGCAAGAGAAGAAATGGTGAGCCACCATTGGCAGACTGACAGTGTGTAGTGTGTGGTGAAAGAAGAACTGGCAAATATTCAGTTCTCAGCTTGAACTTTAACACTCTTGAACACTCATAACTAGCCTTTTCTCTTGTACTTCACAATCACCTCCTTATTATGGAGCCGCGGTTCACCTTGCAAGAAATAAACATTCTCTTTCCAAAATTAATAATATTTATGATTGGGTTTTTGTTTACATTGCCAGTTTCAGGTACAATTATGCAGCCTTTCTTAGGAATGTGTGGTTCTGTTACGTTTGCTGTCAGGTCTTGCTGTAGCTGAGCAAGATGGGGATTTTTTTGCCAACATAGAAAACCTGTACTCTCAAGCTGGGTTGAGGAAAAATGCAAATAAGCCCAGTAAAAAAAAGTCCAGGGCTTACCAAGAGACAGGAATATCAATCTGAATGCACATGTCACAAGAGGACATTTTGCTGCTCACATTAGCACAATTCCCGAAGTGTGCTTTTGAAATCAGTAATCTTCAACTAAGAAGATAATTTAGTTATTTACAGACTAGTGATAAAGGATGCACAGTTTAAGTTATTTAGAAGCCAATCAAGTTTTCTTTAGGATCTTACTTTGGATCTTAGTACTTAAAGTAAAAGCTGATTATTTCAAAGAAATCAAGATCAGTGCAATGAAATAAAGAAAGGAGCAATTAAAATCTTGTGACTGGGCTGAGACAAGAGGAAGCCGATTTCTGAGGAGATGATTTTAAAAAGCATGTGAATATAGTCAAAATCTCATGTTAATGTAAACTGAGCTCGGTTATGTCTAGGAGAAGTAAGATGGGCAAAGACGATATTTAGAATTTTACTTCTCTCTACCTGTAATTTTTCAGAGAAAAGGCTTCATCTACTGCGGAAACTGTCAAGGCAAACAAAGAAATATCACTGGCCTGTCAGTAAGAAATTGCTTTCATTAAACTAGAATTGAATTAAGATTTAACAACAGTTGTTCTAGCAATGTAGCTCCAAGGATGGCAATATCAGTATGTCTGCCACTTTGGTCCAGGCTAAAATATCTCTCAACAGTTTTGGATGGATTGCCACAACATTTTGTACATATATTCATGGTGCCCAGAGGATGAATCCTAATGACTTTGGTGATTTCCTGACTTTCTCTAGCACCACCATAAATAAGTTTGACATTTCTGGTTTTCAGTGAAATATCGTGACAACTATTGGATGGATTGTGGTGATATTTGCTAGAAGAAACACTCTTATAATGTTAGTGATCCTCTAGTTGCTGACTGTTCCTGTAGCGGTATCATCAGGTCAGAATTTTTATATGCCAATACTCTGGTTTCTTAATCAATACCTGCTAAACTCCACAGCCTAATCTATACTTTGTTTTTATTGCTAATTAGCAAATGTTAGCATTTTAAGAGGCTAAACAAAGACGTTGCCCTGTTCAAATGATTCTGGTAAATGTTGCCCTCTAAACATCAGCATTGTTGTTGTGAGCATATTAGCATTTAGCTAAAAGCACCACTGTGCCTATGTGCAGCCTCACAGAGTGGTTTGCATGGCTGCTGACTCTTATTCATGATTCAATACATACAGACACAGCTTTTTATTATGCTGGGCATCTGGACTTCATAGAGACAACTTAGGTCAGCTGCAGTTCAACCTGAACTTGGGATCACTGAACACAGCCTGCATTCTGAGAGAAGGGCATCAGAGGGGTCAGATGTGGATCATGGGTGCCAGTCTGACCACTGACTCCTCATACAGGCCAGGGCACTGTTTGACTCATTCGATCAGTTATATTTTCGAAATCTAAATTTATAAACCAGATTTAGTGTGGTCAAAAAGCAGCATGTGCTCTAAAAACACCCTCTAGATTGTTGAATCCTGAAACTTTCTTGATCCATATTTGTGTTCTTTCTGTGCTTCTTTTCAGTGTCAGCGCTAGCCTCTGGTAGCTGTGTGTCCATCCAGCTGCAGATAAGGTACAGACAGATGGATGGACAGACGATGCTCAGAGTGATCACTGCTAATCGAGATGTTACCGATGACAGGTAATAATGATTATTCCATAATCTCACTTCTGTGATTGCTTCACCCACACAGACCACTCTTGTACTGAGCTGATTGCATGCTTGTGGCTTCTTTTTGAGCTTCAACAAGTCATTATGTTATGACATCTTTAATCAACAAATCAATTGATTACATGTATTATTTCAAACTAATCTCAGTGAACCTTTACGCAAAGCCTTTTTGAAAATCCAAGGAGACTGGCTGTTGGTGAGATACCACAGTCTTCACATCATGCAGAAATGATTGCAGCATGTAAATCGCACTTCTCATCCATTCTAACATTTAGTCACACAGTAAATGAATCTCTCAACGCAGCCTGCCTGCTTCATATACTGAAGGATGTTTGTGCAATTCATCATCTGAGTGGCTACAAAGTGGCGCCTGCGTGTGTTTGAACAGTAATACAATGGCAAGGCTGAAGCTGTAAATGTTGAGAAGCTCTCTTATGATAAAAATGTGACCCTTCTTCTCAGCTCGGCGGTCCTGTCCTCACTGTCTCTGGCCATCATTCAGCTCAACTCGTCACAGGCCTGCGCCGCTCTCGCTGTCAGAGGCCGCTTTGTCGACGCAAGGACGGAAGGAGAGCAGCAGAGGAAGTTGATCGAGAGAGCAATGTGAGTTACAGGAGGGGTGGAGGAAACTCTGACTGACCATTATTTTCTCAAACTGGTAACATTTCTTTCTAATTCAAAAGTTCTAAGCCAATCCAAATTTATTTATAAAGCACATTTAAAAACAGTTGACCCAAAGTGCTGTACAATCATAAATAGCAAAAGCCATAAAACAACACAATGAAAAGACAAAGACCAGTTTAAAAGACAAAATGACAATAACAAAATAAAAGCTGTAAGACTGCAAGAAAAATCAAGGCTACCCTCATATGGAGTTAAAAGCCGAGGAATAAAGTTTTAAGGTGGGATTTAAAAACAGGCAGCGTAGGGGCCAGCTTCACATGCAGAGGCAACTCATTCCAGAGTTTGGAGGCTACAACTGCAAAGGCCGGGACGTGTGGTTCTAAAAGGTCAGAGAGAGCTTGTCTATTTTATGATTTGTAAAACAATAAAATCTTAATATCAGTCAAAAAACATACTGTGAGCCAGTAAACGAAGGCTCATAACTAATTTATTCCTTACGAGCAATTTGAGATGATCAGTAAAATGACAGCATGTGTCTGGGCGCCTGCTGTTATTCTGGCGGAAGCACAGTTTCGCTTAGGCTGGGCAGACACTGTACTGTACGTAAGTGAGTGTGTCTCTGTTTGCAGAGAGCATAATCACAGTGCAGAGGACGAAGAGATATACCAAGACTGGGTTAAAACCATGGAGCCGATATACAACAACATAAATAACTTCACAAGGGTGAGATTTTAACAGTATTTTATCAGGTTCAGTGCCTCACACTGGTTAGAATCACCTAGAATAACTCTTCTGTTGTTGTTGTTTTTTTCAGAGAAAAACTGTCATTTCAGACTCACAGGTAATTCATGTCATGTTCTTAGAAGTCATACTGCTTAGTACAATACTTTGCCCATTTTACTCAACTTTTTCTTCTTCCTCCAACCAGCCTCTAACAGACGCTGGTGCAGCGCTGCTCTACAACATGAAGCACAGCAACAGAAAGTCCATCTCACAGAAGAATAAATGTTTAGGAGCCTCCACCTTTTACCTTGTTTGAAGTCATGAATGACAAGCATAAATACTGCAGTTTGACTTTGATTGTGTGGCTGAATAAATATCCTTCAAATATTTCACAATGTAAATAATGTATTACAGTATAGCAACATTAAACATGGTCTCATAAAGAAACTCAGTTCTTTAGAGTGGACTTTAAATTATTCTTTTCAGCGTAACATAGCAAAACTGCTGAGGCAGTATACAATGTACATGGGTGTGTATAGGACACTGTCCCTGTGGCAGTTTGTGTTTTTGCGCTGACCAAAACACACAGGAAACACCTGACTCAGAAACACCCTCATGCAGCTAACACCAAAATCCTCTTGTTTTGCTGACACAACATATGTAAACCTCCAGCACAACAATTAATATAAACTTAATACAACAGAAAACTTCATACAAGAGCAGCTAAGCATTATTTTAAATACTTTTATGCACTGAATTTAATTAAGCTATTCTAAATCTGAATATTGTAAAGAAAAAAGGGGTCAGTATTTAGGATTTGCAAAGGTAGTGAGCAATGGAGTATATGCAGAATAAGACTGAACAAACAATAATCATCCCCGAGATGGAAGCCAAAGCATAAATGGACATGCGTTTCTCTGGGGCGGCCCTCACAACACAAACATGTAGCTCTGAGCAGATGTCTGTTGAGCATTCGTATGGACCATCATTCAGCGCTGGCAGGTTCCAAGAAAGCAGAATATACACAAACCAGGCTTCAACCAGAATACGCAGACTGATGCTGAGCAGGTAGAAGCTCACAGTGCCTCTGTCTCTGTGGAGATCTATGACCATCTTGCCCTTGGGGTCTGTGGACACACCCTGAGCCTCCTGCTCCACATCAGTCTTCACCTGGGAGCTTCTCTTCTGGGCCAGAGAGCGCAGGTGGGAGGCGAACAGCTCCATGAGCAGGACAGAGAGGACAACCAGCACGTAGATGAAGTTCCAGGCCACCATCATAGGTTTGTGGAAGTGTCTATTAAAACAGGCTTTGGAGCAGATGCTTTCCCGTGTGCCGTTGCAGGTGAAGTCGGCATCCAGTTTGGTGAAGGGCAGCTCGGCCAGGAAGAGGATCACCAGGCGCATGCACAGGAAGCCAAACCACAGGGAGCGGCACTTGTAGGTGGTGGTGGCATCCACCGCCGTCCGCAGGATGGGGATGAGGCCGGTTACTATGGCTGCCATTGTCTCTGGCTTTTGTTGGGAACCTTAAGCATCAATTGAACAAAATCTAATGAAGATTTTGGCTCAAAAGTTTGTCTTTTTCTCTGCCTTGTACAATAAAATATTTTCCCATCTTTAAATGGGACAGGATAAGAACGCATGAAAGCATTAAGCATGAAAACTGAATTTAAACAATCAGAAAATCACAGCAAATATGTGCAGCTCTGTTTGTGCAGATGGATTTAAGTGGTTCTCAATGTACTTAAAAGGTAAAACTGTCATTAATGAGTCTAACATGAGTAGCTATAAGAGAGCTTACCTTTAACAGCTGCAGCCCACTGACGGAATAATATCTCGCTGGCTTTGCATTCAGTCTTATGGGTGCAAGAAATGTCATTGTCATCAATAGAAGTGTTACTGTTTGTCACCACATGATGTGCTGATTTGACTTAATGCAATAAGCATCTCATCAGCTTTTAAGATGCTCGTTCACACTGAAATAATATGAACAAGTTCATTGGTTCACATTTTTATTGATATAAAAATGTAATTCCTCTACATATTTTGTAACGCCGCTCACTTTTTTTTTTACTCGTCAATTTTCACAATATTACACAGTAAAACCGTTACAAATTGTTCCAACAAAAATGTAAATTCAAAGAATTTAAGACAAGCTGTAATTACAAACGCATTATAAAAACATGTTTACATGAAATCACATCTTAAGTGTTTTTTTAAAGTGATCAGCAGAAATGTTTGCAACACCACATTTTTATGAAGAGATTAAAACAGATACAACAGTTTCATAGTAGGATATTTAGAGTACAATATATATTTTAAAACATAAACATAAGTAACATCTTTCAAACACCATGGTGATACGAAACAGTGACAGCGCAGACAATTTACATGAAGGTGACTTTTTTTTGAAAAATAACACTTATGTCAAAATCTGACCTGTCATCTAAAAAGATTTAAGGCCACTGGCTAAATATTTGTGGAATCAAAATTCCGAAAACAGTTAAAAAAGCTTAAAGTCCCTCTTCTTTGACTAAGTACTCTGGCAGAGTCTGGAAAGCAGACACGGGTACCGTCACTGGAACAGTCAGGGATATGGTGCTGGGTTCAACAGTGGAGGTGGAAACCTCACTGGGGGGTGAAGGAGAGGGAAGCGGGTCAGTATGAATAATGTTTAAGTCACTGAGTTGTGTGGCAGGAGTGGCAACGTCTGCATGAGTCCGTAAGTGCTTGCGAAGGTAAGCAGCAAACAGAAAGGCTTTGCCACAGTGGGGGCAGCTGTGGGGTTTGCTGGTAGAGTGGATCTTCTGGTGTTTACGCAGTCCAGATTTGTTGAGGAAGCCTTTACCGCAGCTGCTGCAAACATGAGGCCTCGGCTTGGGATGCTGCTTCTCATGCTCCTGCAAGTCTGCCAGCTGTACAAATTCTGCCTGACAGGTTTCATGAACGTGTGAGCCCAGCGGCACAATTTTGGTAACAGTGGGAGGAGTGGAGTCAATGGAGTGAAGATTTTCATGTGCCTTAACTTCATCCCAGCTTCCAAATGTAGCATCACAGCGAGTACAGGAGAACTGAGGTAGAGTTGTGTGGGCAGTAAAGCCTGAGGCTGGCCCGGCCTCTGTCTCCTGCTGCTGATGTTGTTGTTGTTGTTGTTGGTGTTGTTGCTGCTGCTGCTCAGAGTGCTCAGCTAGGTGAGTTCTCTCATGTTTTCGCAGGCTTGAGGACACCACGAATGACTTCAAACACTCCTCACATTTGAAAGGCCTCTCTCCAGAGTGCACCCGGCGGTGCTTGTTGAGGCTGGAGCGCTCAGCAAATGACTTGTCACACTCAGTGCAAGAAAAGGGCCTGAGACCTGTGTGGACAAGCATGTGGCGCCGCAGATCCCATGACGCTACAAAGGCCTTGTCACAGCTTTGGCATTTGTAAGGCCGCTCTCCAGAGTGGACACGTTCATGCACAGCCAGATCAGCTGGCTGCCGGAACCTCTTAGAACACTTATCGCAGGGGTAGGGCTTGAAACCCAAGTGGGCTCGCTGGTGGCGACGGAAACTGGAAGGATCAGAAAACATTTTGCCACACTGTGGGCAGAGGAATGGCTTCTCACCAGAGTGAGTGCGGAGGTGAGACTGGTAGGAGGACAGCTGGGTGAAGCCCTTGCCACACTGCTCACACTGATAGGGTTTATTTTGGGAGTGAATGCGCTGATGGCAGGCCAGGGAGGAGGAGCGGGAGAAGGCTTTGCCACAGTCGGAGCACAGGTAAGGCTTTTCTCCAGTGTGGGAGCGCTCGTGGTTTTTGAGGTCCTTGAGCTCTGTGTATGTTTTTCCACATTCTTCACAAGCATACGGCCGATGGCCCTGGTGGTTCCTTCTATGTTTTCGGAACACAGAGGGGTCGGCAAAACTCTTACCACACTCAGCACAGAAGTATGGCTTCTCTCCTGTGTGAGAGCGCATGTGCACCTTCAGTTTAGACAGGGTGGGGTAACTCTTTGAGCACTGACGGCAAGAGTAAGGACGCTCTCCACTGTGCTGTGTCATATGGATCCTCAGGCATATAGCTTGCATAAAGGCCTTACCACACTCTGTGCATACGAAAGGTTTCTCCCCAGTGTGAGAGCGGCTATGGTTGCGTAGCTCTGTGGGTGTCTTGTAAGCCTTGTGACAGTCAGGACACTGAAAGGGGCGCTGGGCTGAGTGAGTGCGCTCATGCTTTGAGAGTTGAGCCTTGCTTGAGAACGTTTTAGTACACTGAGAGCACGGGTGTTGCTGCTGACGGTCTTTTACATGAGCTGAAAGCTTGTGGCTCCGCAGAGCTGACAGACTCCTGAAAGCCTCTGTGCACGCAGAGCATTTGAAGGAAGGTTTGGATTTTGGAGGCCTGCCTCTGCCACGTTTTTTTGCAGGCTGATCCCTCAGCAGCTCTTCCTCCAGTTGGCTCTCTTCCCCATGTGCAGGAGGGGTGTATTGCTCTGCAAGAGGTGGGCTGCCAGACTTAGGAGAGGTCATCTTTATATCTGCAAAGAGATTACAGCTTTGTAATAACTATGTAGACTTAAATAAACGCATCTTTAGCAGCATAACGATATGAGACTGGAAGCTTGTTCCACAGACATCCGACTAAAGTGCTATTTAGGAGAGCAAATCGTCAGTGACAGTGGCTGATGATGGACGAGAAACATAATATGCATATTAACATAATAACAGAAATATCTGGGTATGCAGTAAGTCACAAAATGGCTGGCATTAGGACCTCAGGGACAATAAGCTAACCGCTTTGATGCCAGAGGAAGTTGGCAATGCAATGACAGGGATCACTGTGTATGAATGACTGACATGTTCCCGGCCAGAGATGAGCATCAGAGATCACGAGTAAGTGTGATGGCGTTAACAGTCGGATACGATTTGAGCGTATTCATTTTCGTTAGCTTTCCTGCTAAACGTTTTACTAACTCAAAATGGCTGGCTTTAGGACCGGCTGCACCAATTCAATCGACAGTGTCATCCTCATTATGACCGTGACTTTACGGGTGGGTTTAGCTAACATTGCTGTCTTGTTATGCATTAGAGAAACAGAAGGCATTTCTTACCTGAATCAGGACATTAAAAGTTGGTCGATAATGCCAGGAAAAAACGTCTAGGTACACGACTGCATTTACTGTGAGACACTGCGATTGCTGTTGACTGGCTGCAGGATGGGGGACGGCTCTAGGACCATGATGACGAAAGCTCTCGGCAAGCCAAGTGTGCAACATATTAATGCGTTTAATGGTATAAAAAATCTAAATAAGACACATCAGTGTATTGGAACACCCCTTGTAAAACATGGTAGCCTTAATAAAGTCAGCAGGCTATCTGTCACAATGGTAACACCCGCGTGTAAAACTGGAGTGAAGATATTTTACAGTAACGTTAAGCTAACCTAGCCTAGCCTAGCTGTCAGAAGCAGGTAACATAAATCTGCTTAACGAGTTTTACGAAAGCTAGCAGCAAAAGACATTTAGGTCTTTGGTTTTTTTTTAATGTTTGCTCTGTGCTCACTTCACGCTGAGCTCGCCTCGGTTTGTATTAAGTTTAAGACCACACAGTTACTTTTGTTTTTGAGAGGGAAGTATTTCTCTGCTGCACATTTCCTGTTCCCTAGCAACAAGAGCAATGTGGAAAAGGGATGGAAGAAAAAAAGACAATTGGGGAGAAAGGGGGCTGCCCTTTAGATAAAAACTGCATTTTAAAAATAATGAATGAAAGTATATCCTCGGAGGCTTGCGTTGAATCAGTAATGCTACAGGTATTTAATTTGACGCGTTTTCTGCCGCTGTGATTCCGCGTTGAGAACGACTTCTTGGCTTTTTGGTGCAATGTTTGTTTAGCTAGCCATGATGATGCTAGGTGGTACCACCGTGCTAACGTGAGCTCACTGTGCTGTTAGACACGTTTCACCGCAATTATACTATCCGATCTTCCTATAACCTGACGAGGAAGCGTGTGTTAATTCGGTTTTTGTTTATATTGTCGGTGAATATGGGTATTTGTAGTGGCAATAAATCTGTAGAAGGAGGCTTTGCACTCCCGGTTTATTGACATAGCTAATTTAGTTAGCCTGCTGTTGCAGATGTAGTAAAACATGTCAACTGCATTCAATTTAATAAGTCTGTCCATGATGCTGGTTACTTGCTGCCGGAGACGCATTTAAACTAACATACTAGTGTTACATGGTTTTCAACGATTTATTGACTTTGACAGACAAGAGAAATCAGGGATTAATACCTGTGAAGCATGTATTAATCAATTATGAGATGACACTTGTATGTTGCACATGTTAAGGTGACAGTTTGTTTTGTATAATTATTGAAGACAAAAACTAATATCTTTATGAAAACTGTGTGACAGGTTTGTAGCTACTTATACTGTGTACATGCTAACTGCAAAAAACTGAATACTGTTACTTACATTGTCAATATATTCAGTGTATTCCCTACGGCTTTAACTGGCATCTCTTCTGTCCTCAACAGCTCAATTTGCCTGCTTCTCCTAAACTCAAGCCATTCACCTAATTGTGTGGAACTTGTTCTCAACATCCTCTGCCACGTTCCCTCCGGACACTCCTTGGATCTTATCGTAAAGAACTATCTTCATTTTTTATATGGATAATGAATGCATGTAATGCATTACCATCCTGCATATTCATACACTTTGTGTCTGGTGCACTTAATTCAAGCAGTATCGTGTAATGGCAGTGCAAGATCCTGGAAGGACAACAGGTTTTCCGTGCAAACAATGTGGCATGGTATGTCCCAATATGCCCAGTCTGCTCGAGCACATGGATGCTCACCTTCTACAAGAGGAAGAACGCAAATTTAAATGTGATGAATGTGGACGTGGTTATAGGCACGCTGGTAGTCTGGCTAACCACAAAAAGACTCATGAAGTGGGTTCTTTTCGATGTAACATATGTGGTAAAGAAAACTCCAATGCTTTGGCACTGAAGAGTCACCTCCGGAGCCACACTTCACAGAAAAAGTACTCCTGTGCAGAATGTGGGAAAGCATTTCGTCTGGCAACGCAGCTGGCTACACATGAGAGGGTTCATCTTGCCAGGCGAGTAAAGGAGCAATCATATAGGAAGGTAGACATGGAATATCCCGCACAAGACATTGAAAATGATCGCCTACATCATGTTAGTGAGCTGTCGGCCAGTGTTGGGATTGCTACAGAAAACTGCCCACCTGTGGACAAGATGGAGGTTGTTTATAATGCACAATCTGAGACCTCTGATGATGCAGCAAATAGACCTTTCCGGTGTGATTTGTGTGACAAATCATACATACACCATCGAAGCCTGACCAATCATAAAAAGACTCACCAAGTGGGAATGTTTGAATGTACAGTGTGTTTCAAACTGTTTAATAACATGGCTGCCCTCTACAGCCACCAGAGAACTCACAAGGCAAGAAGCGGAACAGACCCCGGCTCAATGGGTGGGTCATACACAGGCACACCACTGGACCAGTTTTCACCTCAGAGCCAGGATGCTCAAGTAAATTTCTGCCATTTGTGTCAGGTACTATTCCCCAATGATGAAGAGTTCCAAGAACATATCCAAATGCATAACTCTTCATCTCTGTCATTTGGAGTTCAAGATACCTTGTCAGAGAACCACAATATTTCATATGACAACAGTATTGCTTCGCCTGAGTCAAATTTTTATGCTTCTCCGATAAATAATGTCCCTTCAGTATCATCAATAGATAATCATGGAGGCTTTGATCAGCCTCTGGAGCAGATTAGAAGTAACGGTCATGTGTACTCAGACTGCTCAAATAATCAAACACCATCTTCCAATAGCACTCAGGGAGAACCCCCTATCATGGACACAAGCATCATTAATCCTGCCCTGATGCGCTCACAAAACGCTGACAGTGCAACTGAAATGGAAGAGACTTCAACTGTAGATTCTGATGAGCGTCCCTTCAAGTGTCAAATCTGCGGTAAAAGCTACCGGCACTCTGGGAGCCTCATCAACCACAAACGGTCACATCAGGTCGGGATTTACCAGTGTTCCATCTGCAGAAAGAGTTATCCTCACCTGGCCGCCCTCAAGAGTCATCTTCGCCTCCACAAAGCTCAGCCGTCATCTTTTAACCTCGTCGCTGAGGGAGACTGGCTTTCCTCGGAGCCTCTGACTCTGGATAGCCAACAGGGCTGCTTCTCCTCTCAAGACGAGGAGGAGGACTGCGGCACTCACCCTGTGCTTGGTATGGATCAGGAGAATGGAGCTGACCACAGCAATGGAGCTTTGTTCCATGAGCAGTTCAATCAGGATTTTCCCGAGGATATGACTGTGCATCTACCTCACAATGAACACCTGATGCAGAGGCACATGTGTGCGGACTGTGGTGGGACATTTGCAGATATTGCAGGGATTAAGTCGCACAGTTGCCCACTGTTACAGCCGCAACTTGACACTACTAGCAGCGACTATGACAGTAATGTAACTTTCCAGGACAGCAATGATCACTGTGCCATTGGAAATCCAGGGAGTCATTTAGAGTTCCGAGGTCTGAATGGTAGCCGTGACCAAAGTTACTTTGAACAGAATTTCCATGACAATATGAGCAGTGATCAGCTGAATGACGGTGGAGAAGGTGATGACGCTGACGAGGAGGAGGATGATGATGGAGACCTTTATCAATGCTCTCTATGTGGAAACAGCTACACCAGCATGAGGGCTCTCAGGAGCCATCTCCGAGGGCACACACAGACCAATAGTACTCCTGCGAGCTCAGGGCCTTCTTCCATGTCCTCCCATGAAGAAGTGAAAGATGATGAGCCTGGAGAGATGATGATCTGTAGCACATGTGGGGAAAGTTTTGCCAATAGGCAGGACTTGATAACTCATCAGCTTCTACACAACAAGGACCAGGATAACGTTAATATACATGTGAGCCACAGTGATATGTCTGGAGGCAAGGAGGAAGCGCAGAGTATCATCTGTGGCAGCTGTGGCATCTTCTGCAACAGCTACCATCATCTTGAGACCCACGGCTGCACAGCTGGCAGGAAAGATGAGTCGACACAAGGTAAAGAAGATGTGAAAGTAGATGATGTTGCCCAGCATGAAGACACGGCTCACGTCAAAGAAACTGTTGACACAGAAGATCGTCACTACAAGTGTGAACAGTGTGGGCGGTCATACAGACACGCCGGATCCCTCCTTAACCACAAAAAGTCCCACAAAACGGGTGTATTCAGATGCCTCGTCTGCCAGAAACGCTTCTACAACCTGTTGGCCCTTAAAAACCACCAGAGGTCCCACTTTGATATAAAGAGGTTAGTTCCAACAAGAATGCATCATTATTATATCATTAATACATGGAAAATTCTTTATTTTTCACTCATGTTGCAAACGGGTAATGCTTGTTGGAAATTATAAACAAAGAGTTTGTTTTTAGTGTAGCAGATGTGTTTTGTCATCATGGGTATATTTCTTGTGTAGACTGTTTCCTGTTTTGCAAACATAGAGTTAACCATATGCCTCTCCTCCCCCCTAGGCACACTTGCCATGAGTGTGGGAAAGCCTTCAAAATTCAGAAGCAGCTATTGAATCACCTGAGAAGGCACAAAGAGAACCAAGCCAAAATCCAGGAACTCAACAACCAGATCCAGGCCCTCATGCAGATGAATGGGACCAGGTCAGATGGAGGAATGCAGTCCTTAACTTCAAATGCCAATCAGGCTTTTACCTCTGCTCGACGCTGCAAGCAGCTGCCTGACGGGAAGACGGGACAAACAAAGTCTGAGACCTCAGTCAAATCAGAAGACACAGGCGATAGACGGCCTTTCGCCTGTGACCAGTGTGGGCGTACATATCGCCACGCAGGAAGTCTGGTCAACCACAGAAACTCCCATAAAACAGGTGAATATTACTGTTCTGTTTGTAACAACACTTACTCCAATCAACTGGCAATGAAGAACCACATGCGAACCCACTTTGCATTTAAAAAGCACTCCTGCCAAAACTGTGGGAAAGGCTTTAGGGGAAAGAAGCAGCTATTAGCCCACATTTGTGCAGACCTCAGAAAAGATGGGGCCGGAGGCAGGAGGGGCTTAAAGTCTCGATCCTTTAAGTGTAAGGAATGTAAGCAAGCCTTTCTCTCTGTTGACCAACTGACAGCCCACACCTGTGATGGACCTTCAGGCAGCAGTGATGCGCAAACAAATATGAGCTCAAATAAAGAGGAGCGGCCTTTCAGTTGCAACATATGTAATCGCAGCTACCGCCATGCAGGCTCACTCCTCAACCACAAAAACACCCACAAGACTGGACACTTCAGTTGCACCTTCTGCTCTAAGCCCTTCACTAACCCCATGGCTTTACGCAATCACACACGCATCCACACGCAGAAGAAAAAGTATGTGTGTCTCACATGCGGTAAGGCCTTCCGCCTCGCCAGTATCCTGCACAACCACCAGAGGGTCCACAACCGGGTGGCGAGTCACTTCACCTGTCCTGCATGTGGAAAGAGCTTCCAGGGCAGGTCTGGCCTGAAGAGGCACCGCTGCCGCAGAGGTCAGGAGAACTCCGTGAGAGCTGGAGTCCAGCAGTCAGAGAGGGGAGACAAGTGCTTCATGTGAGTCACCGTCTTATTGTGAGCTGAGTATGTAAGTCTTGTTTTGTCTATTAGTCATCATTGGGATTATTTTTATATATTTTTGTTTAACAAAGTGTGTCCTGATCCAACAGATATATGTTGGCCAATATGAGCTTGTGCAGATATATCTGTATCTGTGCATATGTTGGTCAATAAAAGTTAGAGAGCGCTTGTTAGATCAACACAAGTTTATTTTTCAACTGTAAAATGCCCTGCTTAGTACATATGATACTAAAAAAGAATAACCCCTAACAAACAAATATCAACTAACCATTATTGAACTGTTAGTTTTGGTAAATAGGCTTTCAGTAATTTGAAGGTTGATGAATACTTCACTGTTGGGTAAAATTATTTGATCTGAAGTGTGATATTAGTTATTGAATATGAACATATCCCTGCTGCAGGTGTGACCTGTGTGGGCGTTCCTACCGCCACGCTGGCTCTCTCCTCAACCATAAAAAGACACACTCCGAAAACCTCCACCACTGTACCTTGTGTCTCCAGACATTTCCTGATCCTCTCACTCTACAGATACACTCCCAGATGAGGCGTCACTGCTGCCCCGAGTGCGGCAAGACCTTCTGTCTGGTCGCACATCTGCAGAGCCACATGGAGGTGCACTCAAAGGACCGACCTGTGGTCTGCAGCCTCTGCCAGCTGAGCTTTCCCAACCCAGCCAGCTACCAGCAGCATCAGGACATGCACCACAGGGCTCAGGACCACTATCAACAAGACGAGGACGAACCTGTAGATAACAACCTCTGCTGGGACTCAGGAATAAATCAGACACTGGGGATGAATGAGATACGCAAGCCAGTTCCACCACCTTTGTCTCATATTCCAGAAAGTATCACTAATTCACAGAAGAGTAACGACTCTGCCGGCACAGAAGAGAAGAGCCACGTCTGTGAGCACTGTGGCCGCACTTACCGCCACGCTGGCTCCCTTCTCAACCACAAAAACAGCCACAAGACGGGCTCCTTCTTCTGCTCCGTCTGCCAGAAAGAGTTCACCAACCTGATGGCCCTCAAGAACCACCGGCGCATTCATACGGAGCCCAAGCGCTACCAGTGTCTGGAGTGCGGAAAGGCATTCCGTGTGTCCACTCAGCTCATATGTCACCGACGAATCCACACCAAAGAGAAGCCCTTCGCCTGCATGCTGTGCGACAAGAGCTTTTCCAGCAAGTCCAACCTGCGGCACCATCAGAAAATGCACCAGAACACCCAGAGCTACGACTCCTCTTTTAGCATGGACGCTAACACGTTTATGGACTTGGACATGGGGTCTTTCCTTTGAAGGATTGCAGAGTGTACAAGAGAAGAGGGGAGGTGCTCCTCTTATGTATGTGTTATTTAACCCTCTATCAATAATTGTAAAACAGTATTTTATTTTTCAGAAAGTGCTCCTTGGTCCTGACAGACGCTCCTTTTTGAAGACATGCACATTTCATTACAGACTTCCAGTCTTACCTCCACAACAGATGGTGACATCACTGAGAAGTCTCCAGAGGGATTATCAGTCAGCTTTTAATAAGGCCCGAATGTTTTCCACAAATACACAGGATCCCAGAATACAGGGCAGGTGATGAAAATATTACTCGCCGCTCACTCCTCATTGACAAACCAACCAACCAAAGTGAAAATAAAAGTGGAGCCCAGGTCCAACACTGATACTGATTTTTTGTAAGACAGTACTGTTCTATCGGTGATCTCTCCTCTCTTGCTGTGTATAATTGTGTTCAGTGCCTCTGTAAGTTCCTTAGGAAACAAAATATACATACTATATTTATCTCTGAATCCTTTTGTTAGCTTTGCCGTGAGCGTTGAAGGACTGCTCACTTTGTCGGGATTTCACATAGGGCAAGCCTGTTATTATTAAGTCAAATACCTCTGGGTGTGTCTAAAGGTCAGTGGCAAAGTGATTTACTGAAATCATATTATCAAGTAAATAGTCGTACTGCTAATAATATTCACGTTGAGTGACATTGTATGCTAAAAATGGATGTATTTATTAATTTATTCCTGTTATTTTATGTGCATATTTTATTAGGGGAAAAAAGCTTTTTATTAATGTTGTAAAGTCTTCTAAAACTCATGTAGCCTTTAAGGAACTTCATCAGTCGATTTGTATCTACTTATTAGTTCTCAGTTATAACAGGCAGGAATGAATGAGCCAAGCATTATTGGCAGCACTCAGGGTAAACCTTCAAAAGGAACATACCTGATGTGTGAGACATTGTACATAATCAGTTTCTGAACTGAGCATAACCTTTTATTTTTTTTCACATGTGCCATTTCAATCTTATAATTTAGCTCATGTGACGGTTGTCAAAATCACTCCAGCATTTAGTTGCGGCTCCACACACAGTGCATGCTGTTGAATTATGAACCTTTGAGAAGCACCAGTTATGTTGAAGTGCCAGTGCCTAAAATGTAAGTCAGCTGTAGCAGTTTAATGTGAACAAACCTCCTCTCACTGTACCTGTTATACTGTAAACCATATTGTTGAGTTTTATATTGTATGTTATACTAATTAGATTTTTATTTTGGTTTGGTTTGTGAATCTCCTCAGCTACAAACTGTTAAAATGTCTTAAAGCAGTCAATAAGTATTGTAACCGTGAGGTGAAAGTGGTTCCTTTTTGCCTCTCCATGAATTTTCTTCCCTCACAAATGCTTTATGTGAATCAAACATAAAGAATGAATGACCATGTATTTTTTAAACAAACATGTGGCCATAATGCCTCATTTTTGCCAAGCACAAGTATTACTGTAAACATACCAGAGCTTTATGGATTTACAAGGACGAACCAGTTTCATCTTCACTGTCAAGTTCATGAACCACTTTCTCTCGTTCTGTGAAAAATAATTCTCTGGGTTACCTTTTTTTTGCCAATTTGTCTATTGTTCCTGAAGTGGATTCTTTTCACAAGTGAGAAATCCAGCAAAAGTGAACGCAGGGCCTTTGTTTATTTTTTTTAACAATCTAAAATTAGATTTTCTTTATGCCTTACACATTACATTTCATGTATGAGTATGTTTGGCACTGGTCAGAGTATGAAATACCTCATGGAAAGCCCTGCCTACCTAGCAACTGCTACTTAATGCCTCATGCAGCTTAATTGTAGAGAATACACTGTAACCGTAAAAACCGTAGTTGTCAATTGTAGGATTTATAGAATGGATGAAGCATCAATTTTAAGGTTTTACTTTGTAGTTTGCGGATGCTGTTTTCTCCATAACATGGTAGTTTCTCTGCAGTTTGTTGTTTTCAGAGTTATATTTGCACATTTGTAGGTGAGACACTTGTAGCCTAAGGAAAACAGGAAGTATATAATAATGCAGCCAACCTGTTGTCATTTGTTGGGGTGTCGATAGTTCACCTCAGCATGTTTGCGGGTTGTAATATTTAAGCAATATGCTGAAAGTATTGTTTCAGTGCATGAACATCTCATTTGTTTTGTCTTACAATTGCATTGAGTACCGTGGCGGCAGGTTCAGTATACTGACACTAGCCTTGGAAAAACCACCACAAACCGTCTGCTGTTTTGTGACATTATTTAAAATCTTGTGTGTATTAATTGTACTCATTTAGATGATCTCACTGTAACATATTTTTCGTATATGCCATGGTAAAACGACACACACACATTTGAGTTAGAAACGGACTTATTTTTTTACAATGTTCTCCATCTGATCTCCTGTGGCACTTCGCGTTCATTTCTCCGTCATTGATCACAGTCTGGTATGAGTGGCGTGCGTTAATCTCAGAGCTCTCTCTGTAAATACTAGAATGAAAATATCGGTTGGATATCTGTACGTTCACAGCGAGAGTTACTTCAGCAGGAGAAAACTGCTTGATCAGCTATTGTGTAATAAAAAAAGCATATACCACACGCTCTGATTTATTGGATTTTCAGTGCTCAAAAATGTCTGCTCACTATTTAATTCATATTTATATAACTATTTTGTCACTCTGAAACGTAGATTTTTACTTCTTTGTTAGAACTTAGTTTAGAATCTAAGCAAATTATTGAAATTAAACTAGTTGAAATTAAATAAAAGACTTGGAAAATACAATGTGTTTTGTGTCCATATTCTTCCAAATGATAGTGATTGTTGACATGTTAAGATGCTTAAGATACATGTTAGTAGAAAATGGAGCAGTTTATGCATTACTGTTGTCAGTTTTATTGTGAAAATACATTTGGTACAGAAAGCAGTTTACAAGATTGAAATAAGTAAAAGAAGCCAGTGCATGTGCAGTATATACAACAAGAAATAGAAAGCAAGAGAAATAAGCAGAAAATGTTAGTTATTGCTCAGTAACATCGTTGGCTGGCCTGGTGGAAGTTTAACACACTTTAAAAATGCGCTTGTCACTCCAGCTGATGCAAAACACTGCAAGATACTTTCAAATAAATAATATAAAAATCTAAAAGAAAAGCCAAAGTATCTGTATTTTAAGTGATTTTGCTGCCAGAGGGCAAGCAGTTTACCTACAAGCAGACAGAATCAAAATATGACTTGAAACATTGTCCGTCACATTAAATATTTCAGTAACCACATTCTGCATGATCTTGAGCTATAAAACAAGTAGAAAACAACAACCATGCCCACTGTGGTTCTCGCTGGTTTCAGTGGCTACAAAATTACACATCTAGACAGAAATCTTTTTGCCTTGTTGCAGATGTGAAACCTGACCTGAAAGTCCAAAAGTTACCAAGCATAGTGATTGTGTAGCTCCACCTAAAACACTGCAGGTGTAATTTTCCTCACTACAGTACATTCCTCGCAACATTCCCACGTGTTAGCAGTTTGGGATTGCATGTCTAGTGTTTCAAACATCCTGCCCTACAAGCGCTGGGACAGTAATGTATGAATTCTGGGATTCAAACAGGAAGAATCTAGCTAAAATCTCCTAAAACCTAGTAAACATTAAAACAGACAACAAACAATATTGCAATGACCTGCAATACAGGGTCTGTGTCGGTCTCAGAAGACCCAGTAACAGTGGATGAGTACAGTTTGCTCCCTTAATCAACAGCTTTTATCACTGCATGAGGCTACTGAAAGAACAGGTACACAGAGATACTGGCAAGGCCAAAGGACAGAATACATTTCATCTACTGCGAAAGTAGCTACATTCAAATGGCCTTAATGTGCCTAACAGTATGTCTTACTCACATGTGATTTATCTTTAAGAGGCTGTTGTGGTAAAAGACCAGCAGATAGACCCCGTCTAACCCTGCTGAATAGCAGGAGATAAAACTGCAGCCCAGTAGGCAGCAGTAGCTGTGTTACATTCATCGGAGTCCTGCTGGAAAACAGCACAATGCAATACAGGGTTTGGAAAGCATCCATCTCTCTAAAGAAAGGACTGTAGTTTTATCTTACTTCTGACATGAAACATCTGCAAATCCACAAAGGTCTCCCAGATCAAAATCTAATTTAAATGGGATATTTTAAGTAAGGCACACACAATCAGAAAATGATACCACCAATGTAATGTTACTATTCCTACAGGAGGTGTGAGAGTTGCTCTTTGAAAGTCCTGTGGTCACTGTTGGACCTACACTGAGCATTGAGAACCTAGCACTTATCTTCGCTCAACGGTCTAATAAATTAAAATGGTCCATTTCTGGTCGAGAGATACCCTGCAGTCAGAGTACACAGTTCATGGTCCAGAGGTTCCTCCATCGGGCTCCGAACCAGTCGCTTCTTGGTTCTGTCACATCCATTTCCAGAGGAAGATGAGGCTGTGGAGGCCATGACAACGATTCAGTTGTCTTTAAGGTCACATTATGTTGAGTTAAGTACAATTCACAACAAACAGCATGCTATGATTAGGGTCTGATCAAATGGACTTTTCAGGACTTAAATTGACATTATTTCTGAACCAAAGCTGCTGATATCAGGTGCAGATATTTAGGGGTTTACACTAAAATCTGAACTTGTGCTAAATCACTTGTGAAAGAACCAAAATGAATCATGTTTACTCATTTCATTTATAACATTGTTTTTGATCCAACGTACCTGTCTTAAAGACCTACTGGTGTTCAAGACCTTCGTAGTAACTGCTATATGCCAAATCTATTCAAATACATTTTGAAAAACTGCAAGGATTCAGTTTTTACATCACAAATTTATTTTTATGTAAAGCCAAAAGGTCTCTAAAACATTTGAACACTTCTTACTATCAACCACAAACTGGTTGAGTTAAATTAAATCCACTGCTCTCTCAGTAATATGCAGCACTGACTGACCAGATCACTCCATTCATGTATTGGTCCAACACTTGCTATGTGAAAATTATACTTACTGATTCGTTTAAGCTTGATAAAGTGGCCCCGCAGTTTCTTCAATGGGTTCTGTAATTAATCAAGAATAAATTTACATTTTTCCCATCCCGGTAAAGGGATTGCAAATCTAAATTGTCTGTAATAGGCATTTTTCAAAGCAGACATTTTGACTTATCATAGTAGGAAAGGCACATGTGTTACTAATAACATTAATGATGGCTCTGCTGTATTCAAGTGTCTCAATAAGCAGTGACAGTGAACCAAACTCAGTCATCATTAATATAATTGTTTGCACCTGTGCTTTTTTGTACCATAACATGTGAAAATGGCTCGTGTGAAAAAAAGCCTGTTGCCTCTCGCTGAAAGTGAACAGGTTTGATGGTTTGTGACACAGTTGCAAAGACATCATAACAAAAAAGTGAACTGTACACAGTGTGCTCTTGTTTACCAAGAATCGCTTTGCACCAGGATTACTTCCGTGCCTTCACAGAGAGCGTACTGTAGTTTACAAATGTTCTTGCAACCTCTGACACAAAGGTCAAAGGCTATTCAAAACACTGATGAACTATTGAGGAAACCCTTTCTTTTCCGGGATTCCAGCGTATGCAGTGTGAGAAACTAATACAAAAATGTTTTGTTTTGTTTTTTGCATGACAGATTCCTTTAAGTTCAAATTTGTCACCTCCTGCTGGTGGAGAAGAAACAAGACTTGACACTGCAGTTTTATTTTGCAGAACAGAGGTGGATTACAGTCTCAGTAAGGGAACATGCAGCCATTTGTTTGTGATTCAGCCTGAAACATTGTGTATTTTTACATAAAAGACTATATCTGCTGCACTTGTAAATGTCATTTAATCCATATGATCTCAGCTTTTAAAAGAATCTCACCGCGTAGAGGCCGTTTGTGTGACTTGTGTCGATGCACCATGACCCCGATAATCAACGCAGCGCCGACCAGCACGACAGCCAGCACTGAGAAACTGGTGATGGCTGCCAGTTTCCATACATCAGATGTCTGGTCCACAGATTTACCTATTGATTGTTTAAAAAGAACTTCAGCTGTGGCACTGAAAGAAAGTCATGGCAGAAAGTGATTTACATTTTCAGATGCACTCCTTACATGTGTTGCATGATGGGGTCTTTGGGTACTGCTTGCACAATGAACATGGCACGCAGACATCCAAATCTGGGTTCAGAAACTCTGAACTGCTACACTGACCTGCACACAGATAAACACCAGAGATCATCTGTTAGTCATGCCTCTTTTAGTCCTTCAAAAACATTTTACATGATTTATGAAACATTCAACACTGCTTAAGCCTATTAAATGTTATGATGTTGAGGTAATATTCAGAGACTGATGCAATTGTTTCGAAATCAAATCCCCTGACTCTAACTAAAATTAAAGTAAAACACAACATAACCAGGTGACGTGCAGAACCTCAGATGGAATCAGCTAATACAGTAAAAGGTGTGACTTAAGCAGAACACGTGAGGAACTTTGCGGCTTTCTTCTTCTCATAAAATGAAACTGGGAAATTCCTTCAGGTCAGTCTGCTGATGCAACTTAATTGCATGAGAGAGAATTACTCAGTAACTTCTGGTGCGTGAACAGGCAGGCCATGTGTGAAGAGCAGGATGTGTTTTCACAGAGAGCTTCCGTTGAATTGTTTTGCCTCTGTGTACGCGTGAGACTTCCAGAGAATGAAACGAATGTGTCTGTGAGAAAGAAGTGGACGTCAGTTTTGCTCAGAGAGAATCAGTCTACCTCTGTAGACATAATGGAAAGATTCAGCCCTTTTTACTGCAGCCAGACAGCTGAACAATTAAAGGTGGTTTCTTTGGAGGTTTAACTCATCCTGGCTTTGGTTATGAATACCCCAAGGTCATGTATGAAATAGTGAATATTGTGACATCAAGCTGAAAAAACAAATCTACAAAAACAATACTGCGACACAAAGTCAACCTAATAAGATGACAAAACCAGGCATGACAAAGTTTCAAATAGTGTAACAAGGAAATAGTCAGATATTTGATAGATCAAATGATAACAGTCTTTCTTCCTGATCAGTGTCACATATATTTGCATGGACAACTTCTTTTGTATCCATTATAACAAGGAGCCACCCTGAGCCAAAACTGAGTCATCATTTGTGGTCATTTTCATGTTTAAACTGGCTGCTTGAATCATCACTGAAAGAAATACCAAAACTATCAGAGAGACCAGTTTGACGTAAACCAAAAGTAATTAAATGAATGTGTGTAGGAAACTGCGGCCGCTTCAACGACAACAACAGCAGGTAACCAGTATTGTGACACCAAGCTGAGGAGCTGACAAACCAACTTTTCATACCGGTGTTAACACAACAAGATGAGTGACACTATGCCAGACATGACGGGGTTATAGACAAATGAAATAAGGAAATTGTTTGTAGATATCTGAGAGATAACGTTGTGAACATCATTCTTTGTTCCGTATAAATATTCAGAAGTGGTTTGAACAAAGAGCTGCGCATACACATGCTCTTTACAGATGTATGTTTCAGTGGTCAGAACAGTGTGACAGCGACATTCAGGGGTGGATGAAGTATTCATATCTTTTATTTAAGAGTAGCCTATTAGTACAACACTGTAAAACAAAAAACTCCATCACAAGTAAAAGTCCTATCAGTCCTACAAAGTATTATCAGAAAAATGTACTTAACAGTTAAATTATTTTTATTCAGAAACACCTGTGACTTATATATTATTAGATATTACATTGTTATATTGTAAATACTGATGCACTTGTACCATTTTACTGTTGTAGCTGGTTAAGGTGGAGCTAATTTTACACAATGGTAGTTTAGTCCAGTCACAAGAATATGATAATGGGAGGAAAGAAGTTCTACTACAGAAATTAGCATTTTTTCTCAAATCTTTGTGAAATGCATCTGATAAGTTGAGAGGGGATATGGTGGATCTGCTAACAACTCATAAACATCTGAAGCGAGACAAGGGTCGCCAACTTGACAGTGCTTTTTTGGCCATCCAGAAGGATGGAGAACCATTGGTTTCATCTCTCAAAATACATTAGAAATTTATCATATGATTTTTGTTTTAGCTAAAACACAAAGAATAACTAGTAGCTGTCAGATGAATGTAGTCGGGTACACAGTAGAATATTTACCTGTGATATGTGGGTAGAAGTATAAAGTAACATGAACAAGAAATTCTCAAGTAAAGTACCCCTACATCGTGCTCAAAAACAGTCCAAAATCTAAAGATTTTCAGTTTACTATTGCCTCAGGCAAAGAAAAGCAGAAAGTCCTCACAGCTGAGAAGTTTAAATGTGTTCATGTTTGACATGTTTGGAGGAGTAGTCCGGCTGTTAAGACTGTTTAATAATCTCTTCTGTGGCTCTGGAGGGACCATTGTTAAGTCTGAGTAACCCTGATGATGTCATTGTGATGTCAGTGAGGTAATACAGAGATTTACTGTTTCTAACGGAAAACTGGCATTACACACTGGAGGTACGGAGAGTTAAAGAAGATGGCGCTGAGGACAGGCAACGAGGGTCTACTGAAAGACGCATTATGGGAAACGTAGGATCCAGTGTTTTTGGATCTTGACCTTTGTCTAAAAGAGAGAATATCTTCATATCTCCACTGGTTTGATTTTGACTTTTCAGTTCTGTCTCTTGTGAGTTTCCAAACTTTTTGGAAGTCCACTAGTGGCGTACCACTTTAATCGACTAACTGTTTCACTCAAATTATAAATGAATAGAGGATTCACAAGATGATTCACCTGTGCAGACTGAACTTTCTTGGGAAATACATTTAAATTCAATTGGTTTCTCTTATGGCTCACAACCAAAATACACACAGAAAGAACTGAGCCTTTGACACAGTATGAAATTCCAGTTTTTCAAGAGCATGAGATCCAGAGCCTACAATGTCAATGTATAGTGTGTCCTGATAGGGGTCTTTAGCTGGTCACACAGACACATTAGTGGACCAGTCATTATTAAACCAGCTGAAGCCAAAGGACACCTGCTCAAAAAGTCATGTTTGAGGCATTTTGACCTCTTACTCTCCAGTTATGTTACAGCCACATGTTCAGGCCCCCACAGACTCTCTGTCCACCACAGCCAGCCCGCCTACAGAGCTGAACTGACTCATTTTATATCCATGGTCACAGCAAAAATGTGTCACATTTCTTGTAAGCACTTCTCCAGATGACTTTGGCCCTACATCATCCCTCTGGACTCACGCTCGAAGGGTTCAAAAGGTCAGTGAAAGGAACTGAACCTTGAGACTGCTGGTTGGCCATTGTCCAAACCCAAAACCACAACAGCTTTTGTTGCTCAAATCAGACAACAACCTGAAAGTGCTGATTAAATTGATAACAATTATTCAAACATGCTTATGAGCTTAAGTTCAACTTTAAGGTTTAGAGAGAAATGATTCTGTTGGGGGTGTTTCAGTTGGACTTTTATTCAAAGGGGTTACTACACCTTTTAACTTTTACTTCACCACTTCAGACAGCAATGTATTGTAACAGTAAGAAGCAGCGGGGATTATCCTACCACAGAAGTTTCTTATGATTCAGCTTCCAAAATCTAGAAAGACATTTTTTTGTGTGTGTTGACCTTGGCAAATCTCAGCACCTAGCCTGACAAAGGGTGTTTTTGGGTGTGGGGGTGCTGTGTTTTGTCATAAGCTGGAAGAGGGGAGGTGGGTGGATCAACAGCTGATGTCCAGATGTAGAGATGGCTTCACATGGATAGAATCTAGATCTAGCTTGGTTTGAGTTTGGAGCGTTAAAATGCATTTGCTAACTTTAATGCCTGAAGAAACGGTGCAAACCCGTGTAATTATTCAGAATTTGATGTTCTCAGTGCATTCCGAGTGCGGTGTTCTCCACTGGGATTAAATCCAAACTTCAGTGGAAACAAAGTCAAAAGTTCTTTTTGTGTGTGTATTTGAGGCAGTAAAAAGGTATCCTTGTGTGAAATGGATGCAGGCAGTGCACCCTTTCCATGTGGCCTGTCCCTCTCTCCCAGGGGCACGGATGGATGGGGTGAAATAAGGCGATCGGAATGCGGAACCGGTGAGAAATGCAACTGGTAAAGGAAGCGGCTTTGTAAGCAGACCGACTATCTGACTCCATTATTGACCAGACCACCGGACTCTAACCCATGTTCTCAGTAAAAAGGACACCAAAAAATTCCTTATAAATCATAATTAAGACACGAAAAGGAAAAGCAATGAAGTCACATTAACAAGCCAATTTGACAAGAAAAAAAAAACAAGAATTGCTGCTTGAATAAAAACTTATTTTACTTACTCTTCTGTGCGCTCACACCATAGAAATTGATCACGGCCGCTATTATTAGTCCGCACAGCGCGCAGAGAGCGTTTGAAACCATGATGTCTGCGGGTAAAAAGCTGCTCGCTGTCGGCTACACAATTCCCGAAAGTTCATCTGATTAACAATCCGTGCTGGGTTTCAGCATGGAAAAGCGAGCATCAGAGTGAGTCACCCAGAGGAGTCTGCGCCTTGTTTTAATAGCGCACACACCCACGCTAGCAGTTCAACTCCTATGAGTCATTTCCTATGTACTGTACTGCTCGGATTCTCGGTGCGCACTCCCCGACTCACAGGAAACTCCTCTGCCATAGTAAACTATGTGGTTTCATTTTGCCTCGCTTCTAGTGAAACTTTCAATTAAACCACTTCAGGTGTGAGAGTTTCGCACAGTTTCGTTTATTTCATATTTTATGGCCACACCCTACAGCCTTTTCTCCACATTTTACCAAAGAGCCTGTGTAGTCTGGACTTAATAGTGTTCTCGTTGTTATTACCACGCCTGTCGACGTCATTCCCTCGTCTCTGCCAAACAACACAACTCTCTGGCATGGGAGAGGGTCCCATGCACAGAAAGAAAGAGGAACAGCAACTGAGGCAGAACAGCTGACATTTACTAGGAAAAAAAAAAGTGATTTTAAAGCCTTTGGGAAAAGTCTGCTCAAAGCGAGATATGTTTTTATCTCTGCCCGCCGCAGATCCACAGTAACTGGGGTGCTCTTGCTTTTGGAAACTGACATTTGAATAGCCAGTGTCCCTGACGCAGGGTGGTGTTATTAATGTCTGGAGTTGGGTGTAGTCTGCTGCTGCAGCACAAATATGCAATAACAAAGGCAGTGGACGCATGCCTGGAGTGCTATCACGCTGGCCCCCGTCACAGCATTGTCTCATATTAATGAAGACCATCAGTTACTAGGACGACCTCTGTGGTGTGTGGCATACAAATGATGGCTTAGCACAAAGTGAGAAATACTCATTTATTTATGACAGGTTATGCACATTCCTATGAGTAAACCAACTCTGCCCATGTATTATACTTATTTATGCCAACAGTCTTACTTAACTATTCCCAACTGCCTGATAAACTTTTTTCACACATTCACTCTTTTTCTCTGCAGCCTGGAACTTTTTATGTGCACGCTACATGGTGTGAACTGCCTTTCCCACAAGAGCTAACGTCAAACAGACACTTACCAACCCCACAGTAAATAGTTCACATCATCAGAACAGAGGAAAAGAGGTTTCATTGGCTCAATTAGATTAGAGGCATGTTGTTAAACAGATGTTTTTGTACTCGACTGTCACGGCTAACCTTCAAGAAAGCTCTCTAAGAGGACCTGGAGCAGCATGGCCCACTAAGGACACCCATATGAGCTGACTTTCCACTGCAGTGATTTCATCAGTAATGAGGCACTATAAGCTGCAGATGTTGTGTCAAACTCTCCAACAGGAACCATAGCAACAGGATGAACGAACACACACACACACACACACACACACACACAGAGGACCTTGCCCAAGGTGATCCAAACACTCCTGTATGTGCTGACTCGGTGCCAAACTAGCCGACCTCTCTCAGGCATTGTTAATACTATAGCCTAAACCAAGAAAGTTGGCCGATTCTGGCTGTTGTACTTATATATTAGAAACATATTTAGTTTTACACATGCAGTCCTCAAGTATGTAAAGAAAGGCTTCTTTTAATGTTCTAAGTTTAAATTTCAGCTTCACTGATTTTACAGGATTTCCAAAACCAGCAGGACAAAACAATTCAAAGAAATGCTTCAGGAAGATCAACCATGTTCCACTGCAGTTCAAAGTTTTTCAATACATTAAAATAAAGAAAAAAGATAAAGAAACATTTAAAAGTGGGCCCGGTTTGTTAAAAGACAGGATGTTTAACATGGCAATAACGTCAAGGACAGGAAAACAGAGCAGAGCAGCTCAACATGTAAGAACATCACTGTGTGCACAAACAACTGTGTTTATTAGCTACAGCACAACACTCAGTCAGATGTGTCACTATCTGTTTGGTCACCAAATGAATCACCAACTGGCAATGATGCGGTAAAACAAGTCTTTCCAAAGAGATAAAAAGGGGAAACGCACTCATCTGACTACCCCCAAAATGTCTGCCTCTTTGAATGCAGTTCTATTGTCTTTACTCTCCTTTGGTTCCGTCTACTGGTTTCTTCTTTCACTCCTCTGTCTCTCTGTGAATTAGGTGATGTAGATGCGGTGAAAGTCGTTGGCTCCGAAGGCACAGTTGCACTTGGGGCACTTCCTCTGTCGGGTGTCGTAACGCATCTTCAGACATTCGTAACAGAATACGTGGAAACACTTGGTGAGCACCGTCTCCTTGTCCCGTGTGTTGCAGCAGGGACAGCGCAGCTTGGCCTGGAGACGGATAAATACATTGTATATGGAGTAAATACTGACTTCACAGTCATTACCTCTACCCATTTTATGCTACCACAGCTAACACCTGAGGGTGTATCAAGTAAGTTTCTTGATATCCCCAAAGCACAAAGCGACTGTTAACATTTCTGTAAATGTCTGAGCTCAGTTTCTGGCCCATACTCATGAATGAAAAACAGCCATTGCCAGCCAATTAAGGAAATTACAAAAGGTGTAGTATTTAGTATTACGACGCATTACATTTTCACTAGACTGTTCAGTCAACCACAACCTACTGCAGATTGTGCCAGAAAAGCTGTTGGTGTTTTATACATTTCTCTGCACAAGAAGAATGTTCTCCCTTTCTCACCTTGTACTGGTTGATCTCCTCCTGCAGGATCTCATCAGCATCAGAGTACACCTCCACCTTCTTCTGTTTCTCCAGCTTTCGTCTCAGCCTGGATAGATCCTCCTAGAAGGCATAAGGAGAGTGGCCACTTAACACAGATCACTGGTGTGATCTTCTACCAAGACCCTCTGGAGTAATGCAAGAGTTGGGAGTGATATCCAAATACAACATACCTGTGCTCGTTTCAGGTTGCTGCTCTCCCTCTCCCGGGCGGTGCGGTTCTCAGCCACAGAGACCTGAATCTCCTTGAGCTTGGCCTGCGTGTGCTCCAGCTGCACCTTCAGGTCCTCTGCCAGCTGGGCAGCCTCCACTGCCTGCAGCAGGGAAGGAATCTCAATAAGAACACTCAATAAGAAAAACCTAATGATGAGATTCCTGAGCTGTAATGTGGTGGTGGTACAGTAGATTCAGTCATGAACTAACGTAAAACAACCAGTGTTGGTTTTGCATTCCATTTCCTGAATATGGTGTATATTTTCCATCTCTAACGGCCATTTTCCACAACATGCTATACGTTTTAAGATCCTCTTCATAGCTTCCAGGCACCCACTGGTTTCAGTTAAAGTAGCCACTTGTGTGTGTTTTTTGTTATGTTTAAATTTTATTGTTCCTACTTGTGTAAAAAGAGCAAATGAGATTAAAAAAAGAAAGAATTCAAGCAATATATTTACCTATGTATAAAGATGACCTCATTAATGGTGCCCCAGTGCACTCGCCCACACAACAGCAGTCTCACAGGTACTTGGGCAATGTTAGCAATTACCAGAAATATCTCACACAAGTAGGCACTTTAACTATTACAAGAAATTGCAAATGTGGGAATCAGGACAGACAGTAAGTTTAGTTTGCTAACAATGTAGCTCATTAATGCAACGTTTTGTCGCAAATCTTGGATGTCAGAATTATTAACAAGCACCTGAACACACAAAATGATGTACACGAGTATGATTTAGTATCCAGATCCTATTATAATGCTGCTCAGTGTTAACATTTAGGAACATTTGTCAGGAATCAAATCATCCAGTGAATCTACAGTGCAAGTGATAAAGGGCATCTCTCTTCCCACCTTCCTCTTGTTGAGTTCTAGAGCTTGTGTCCGTACAGACAGCTCTTTTTCCAGAGCGGCAAGTGTGCTCTGAAGGACGCCCTCTTTTTCCTCCAACTTCTGCACAACCAGCAGCTGGGCATCCACCTGGAGAACGGCAGCAAAAGTAACAGTTAATACTTCAGTGCCCTGTCACGATGACATCCATCAATGCTACATTTCTAGGTTAAGAAGTTACACGCCACCTGGGTTTTGAATGTGAGGACTTGGTCAGCCAACTCCTCCTTCTCCTCCTTCAGCAGCTTGTAGATCTGGTTAGATTTGATTCGCTCACTCATCAGCTTGAAATTGGCATCGTCCTTCTCCCGTAGCTGCTGCAACAGCCGGCTGTTCTGCTCCTGCATGTCCTCGAAGGCCTGGCCGGTTACATCCATCTCGCTCAGCAGGGCTTCCTCCTCCTCGAGGGACACAGGTGTCAGGGATCAAAAACAGTGATATTGCTCCTGGATTCCAGTTTACAGGTGAGGCCTACCTTCATCACCATTTGTAATCATTCTTACCACATATTTGTTGGTGGTGTGCAACAGTTTGAGAAGTTTTAGTTCCAAGTATGCCTCTTTGTACATAATGCTCTGTAGTCAAAACTGAAAATAACCAACAATACAGATTCAAAAAGGAATTCCTTTCTAACCCCTCCAAAAACATATCACTACAAACAAATAAAATGTGATCTTTTGGCTCACTGTGCTATTTTTTTTTAAATAAATACACGAGCATGTTTTCAGCCTGAATAAAAAATACCATTGAATCTCTTCGGTTGCTTTTGTTATGAAGAACAGACGTGAAAAGCTGTTAAATTTGACTGTGCTGATATTACCTGATGGGATTAATTACATTACACCCTCATTGGCCCATTTGCATCTCGAGGTGCAATCACACCTGGTTTGTTTTCTCTGCTACTTTGCTGCGTTTGCTTAATTTTGGGTCATGTTGCCCACTTACAAGCCAACTAGGACCTTTAAAATAAAGTCATATAAACTCTCAAATAGCTTGTTTATTGGAAAGTTCTGGCGATCGGTCACCCTGCAAAGTTAAAGTCTGGCAACCGTGAATTGAGTGGAACAAATCCAACACACCTGCGTCCAAAACACTTCAGTTGCTGTCGATTAACTACATAGTACATAAGAAGGACTAAAGTAAAGAGCTGAATAAACCAGTATCAGTCCAGAGTGTGTTGTGCCTTCTGTTAATTATGTTCTTTGAGACCTCCAAATTATGTGGCGCTGCAGGCTTTCAGACCTCAACATCTGTCTCCTTTATGCTCATAAAATTGTATGGAACAACAGTTAAACAACTTAAAACACGGTCATAACTCTTTT